GTGTGTGAGTGTGTGTGTGTGCGTGTGTTTGTGTGTGCCTTTGTGTGGCTTCGTTGTGAAATCAGGCGCTTGTCAAAATAATGAAATCGTAGAAACAGACTTTTTTTTCCAGTTTGGCAATTTTTAACGAATTGTTGTTTTTCTTGCCAACCCGTTTATGTCCATACGAAAGCAAATTTCCAAGTGAATGTTATTGAAAAATGTTGATTCAAGGCACAGAAATAAGTCTTTATTTTCAGTTTTCATAAACTCTCTAGCTATTGGATTTACCAAACTTTGACGGCCATTGTCTATCTAATGGCACCATTGAAACCAGACGACCTCACGCCCTTCAATCCCAAATATCTTGACTTTTATTCAAGGATGATTAGTATTTTTTTCATTGAAAGCAAGGCAATTGAATAAGCTTTTCGATAATACCAATAACTCTACTTGCCCAAAAATTGACAAGCGGCTAATTCCATCGTGTCGTGACACGTAGATATAATAATGTACAAAAGCCAGTGTCGTCGATAGCCAAGTTGTTAGGCTACCGGAACGGTAATCTTGAGATTGCGGGTTTGGGGAGTTCGAGTCTTAACTCGGTCCGACGTTGTGTCCTTGCGAAAAGCATTTTATCCTATTAATTGGTTGGGTCCTATCAGAGTAGTAAGATTGGCGGTCTCTCCTGTTGAATACATGCTGCCACTTTCACGAACCTAACTTGCTGCCACTTTGGATAAGGGTTACGCCAGCGCCTAGCCATGTTATTTCTTCATCAAACAAAGCAGTGTTTCTCTCGCACTTGCAGGCTTCCAACGCAAAAATCCCCAGTGGACCACAGAAGTAAATGAAATTCCTTCTCTGACCGCGGCAAAGTCCGCTCAAATTTTGGATTAGACATCAGCTGAACCGACCCAAAAAGTAGAGCTATTTAGTTTAGCTCCTGGTCAAGAGCACCTTTTCTTGGATCTGTTAGTCTTGAGGGGGTGCATATCTAGACGAAGTGTATGTGAGTGATTTTAGGTGCACCGATGGCAACAAAGCGTTTGTTCACTTTTCATATGTATTTGACCATGTGCTGTCTCGGAGACCTCCTAAAGAAAGAGAGAGAGAGAGAGACTCACACATAAAATGTAGTTCGATAGATAAATAGATAGATAGATAGATAGATAGATAGATAGATAGATAGATAGATAGATAGATAGATGCCTTTCCCGGTAAAATATTTTTGACACATACCTCATCCCTACTCTATGCTCATAGAGAGATACAAGACCTCAGGCACTTAAAAATCGAATAAACACTCTCTTGTGCACTCTTTTTTTCTTGCATATCACCTCAGTCTTTTTATCTTTTTCACTCATTTGATTCCTGTCAACAATCTCGACTCTCAGCCTTTCACACCACAACCTTGTATCAATCATAAGTAAGTGTTATTATATGTAAAGTAAAGGCCTCATACCTCTGT